TCATGAATGAGTCACGTATATTAAATCTACCCTTTGGCCTTGTTCTCACCAGCCCATGACAGTTAATGTCACGCTGCGTGACGCTGAGCCAGCCGGGCACATCGTGGCTACTCCCGGACAGCTTCCAGCTGATTCTTAGAATACTGTCTGTACACAAATCTTTTGGGGTTGGCATTAAAGTGGAAATGTTTGTGATGTGTCTGGTGTGTATGTGTGTGTGCACATATTGAGTGTGATGTGTGTAGTGTGTCTCAGTGTGTGCTTGTGTTGAGTGTCATGTGTGTGGAGTGTGTAAGTGTGTACATATGTTGAGTGTGACGTGTGTGTTTACTCACTGCAGGGCCGCTGTGTTTTTTTTAAAGATTTATTTATTTATGTATTCAAGCACTGGGTACAGTCAGAAGTGCGGGAGGGTGAGAGAATTCACCAGAGCCAGAGCGGGGAGCAGAGCAGGCAGAAGGACCGAAGGACACTGCTGAGGGGAGCAGCGGGCGGCAGGAGAGGTCTGCGCGCCATGTGGGACCCTCGCTGGAGGCCGGGGATCAAACCGGCACTGCAGAGGCTGCGGGCAGCTTCACAGCCCAGCGCTCAACCGCTGCGCCACCGGGGAGGCCCAGGACCACTGTGTTTTGAGAACCTGGATCTTCTCTTTCCTGATCCTTTTCCCTCCTCCAACATCCAGTTCATATCCAAATTCTGTTTTCCCTCCGTAGTTGTCACTGTTTAAGATTGCTTTTGTTTTTGTACCACTTGCTTGCGAGCCCCGTTAGCGCACACAGCAATGAGAGTGGCCGCTCCTGGTGCCTCCTGGCCTCCTTCCTTTTGCTGGGCCCTGCAGCTGGGCTAGTCTTCCCTTCTGTTTTGTCCTAGGAGTCAGACAGCTTGAGGCCACAAATATTTTGTTTTGCGCCATTGCTCTGGAGCCCTCAGTGGCTGCAGACTTTGCAGGATGAGGAGAAACTGGCAGCCTGCGCACTGATAGTTTGTCCTTTCAAAATATTTTGAGGAATGGTTAGAAAAATCAGGATATTTTTACATTAAAAATCTGCATTTCCAACTTTCCCTCAAGATGTGGACAGTGTAGTAGCATTGAACGCATATTCCTAAAAGATATAAGGCAGAATGAAATGTTCTTTGCTGCCTTGGGGGTGGGGGGACTTGTTTTCTGCAGTTTGCCCCACTCCCCACTCCCCCTTATAGCTCTCCAATCTGCCCAGTTCTTATTTCTGTTACCTGCCTGGCCTCCATAGGCATTAATATTTGCAGTCTGAGCTGTCAGAATCATAGGCCAAGGGCCTTTCTACACCCTGTATTTAGAATGAATCTTGTATTTTTGCCTAATGTGTACCACTCCCTCTTCCCCTGCCCAGATCCTGCCATTACAGGAGGTAAAGCCAGCTTACATCCTTTTTCTCCTGCACAGTCCTCCCTGCCTGCCCAGGGGAAAGTTTTCCCTCCCCCTAAAGCACTCAGGTTTGCTGCTCTCTTTCGTGACATTGTAGGTTATGCTGTTTCCTACCTAGACTGCCACTTAATGCCTTGCACTGGTGGATCCCCAACAAATGTCTGAACAGAGGATGCATAGTCATGATCAAGGGTTCTGTTCTGTGGGTGCCAACAGAAGCGCCTCTGACTAAATCTAGGGTGATGTTAGCTGGTGACCTAGTGACCCTGAAGAGCTTGTTTTACTTCTTATCATCAGAGCCACAGCTTGGGGATCTGTTCTTAATGCAGGGAAATCCCCACACACAACCACACACTGGTACACCTCAGAGGATTGTGGGTGTGGTCACGCCCTTGGAAGTGGTGTATAATCTGTCATGTTCAGTGATCTGTTTTCAGATCAACATACTAAAAGTAGAACTAAGGAGAATCTCAGCAGACTTTAGACTATTTCCATGCTCCTCATTAAAAAAAATGCAATACTACATATACATGGGATTCTGTACTTGATACTTGATCCGTCCTTTCTTCCCAGGACTCCCCCAGATGTACAGTCTCTCTGTCTTTCTGACCACAGGTTTCATTTTGGCATCTCCAACCTTCAGAACACACCCCTGCTCCTGCTACTGAGGGGAGCTTGTACTCCTTCTAGCTGATGGCTACGGGAGGGCACAGTGAGAAGCAGCAGGGTTGGTAGGAAGTGCTGATGCCTAGGGTGGTCATAATTACTCAGGAAGTGCTTAGCTTGCACCAGCTTTCCCACTTGGAAAGCCCAGTGTTTCTGGATCTGTGCCCTTGAGTGGTGCCTGTGACCTCGCAATGCTGGGCATTTTCTTTACTTCCTGTCAAGTTCCTTTGAGAGGGCTGAGCACTTTGCTTTCTAATGTTTGGGCCAGAGTGTGAGTGGACTCAAGGGTGGGGCTGTCCAGTGGAGCCTTCTGTGATGACACAAGCTCTGTATCTGTCTTGTCTAATGCGCTGGCCACTGGCCACAGGTGACTGCTGAACGCTTGAGATGAGGCTAACACAACTGAGGAATGGAATTGTTCATTGTATTTCATTTTAGTGAACTGAATTTTGGCAACTACCATAGAGAATTTTGAGTTATGGCTGGAGCATCACTGCAGTGGTGATGGTACAGCTCTTGCTTAGCCCTTCGAGTTTTCCAGCTCCTGCGTTTATTCTGGGCTCTGGGGCTGCAGCTAGGGAGATGCAGACTCAATGGGCACCTGCGCTGAAATCCCAGAACTGGAGGGGGTTGGGTGAGGGGTTAGCAGGGTGCTTTATCAAATGAAATTTTCAGTCATGGAGTTTTGATTGTCAAGCAGCGATTGCTCCGGTGTTGATCCGGGCGTGGCTTGCATGTGGTTTCCTTTTCCTCTCCCGTGGGCAGGTCCGCGCAGGCCTGGGTGTATATATGGAGCCTAGGACTTGACCCAAAGCTGCCTTCTGGCTCTGGTTATCACCCAGATTGGGGATCACTCCATGTTTATTTTTATTACTTTATTTATCAAATTTAAAGGCTGTGCAAGTAACCCAGCCCAGATCTCCTGGATTCAGGATGTGTTTGCTCAAAACTGCCTGATCCTCATGGGGACCCTAACTGCGGTGCCCCCCGGGTTGGTGGGATGCCCCGCTTTGCCTCATAAGTAAAAAGCCTTTTGACCAACCCCACAGGAAAGCTGAACACCTGTTGCCATGCTGATCCGAGAAGGGTATTGCTTTTTCAATGGTTAGCGGGGAAGGATGTCCTGAACAAATGCCATACAGACTTTGTGGACTCCACCAAGACACTGGGAACTACAAATCCCAGGATCCCCAGAGGGAGGTTGCGAGGACCTGAGGGCAGAGTTAAGCAGCCATGTTCTCTGTTTGAGTATTTAACTGGCCATGTGGCGGGGGTTGCTCTCTGGGCCTGACGGCACATGGTGTTTCTCCACCTCTGTGGGTCATTGGGATTCCAGGTCAGCAGAAGGGGTAGGACGCATTTACGAACTTATCTCCCTCTTTTTCTCTCTGAGTTATTCTTTCCCCCATTTCCCCTTCCCTTGTAAATAAACCTTTTATTAACCTTTTGTGTGTGCCTGCAGTGGAGTGTTCATAAGTCCCCTTTCAGCGTGCGGGTGAGCACCCACAGTCAGGCCACCCGTTTTATATTGGGGTTGCCCTGTAACACTTTTATTTCCTTTAATTTTAGCAAACACTGCGCTCCCGTCAGCCGTGACTCCTTGAGTGGGTTCTGTGTCCTTGATTTCATTAAGCCGTGATTTTAGAGACTTCGCGCTCACACTGTGTGTAAATACTGAAACCAAATGACTTCCTGGGGAGGAGTAGGGAAACTTCCTAGTGTGAAGACCATAACACTTATCAAAACTTTTGCTTGGTTTTCGTGAGCGAGTCACCTGAAACTGGCTGTGGGTATTTTGGGCCGTTGTGGTGGTGGTTCAACCACACTGTGCTGTGGCTGTTGCTGAACTTGCCAGGACACACGTGCAGTGTGGACCCAGCACTGCTCGGCGTTGGCAGGGGAGGGTCTGAGAGGTGCTCCCTAGCTGCCATGGATATTCGAGTTCACTGCGGGGAGTGGGGATGCAGGTGACTCCTCAGGGGAAGGTGAAATGTGAAGTGACAGCACTTTCATAAACGTGATGATTTTGTATCAATGTCCTCGGAGGTTCGGGGCAGGTGGGGTATCAGAAGAAAGGAAAGGCAGCGAAGACCCACTCTGGGTTGGAAGTTTAGATTCCTAAATTAGTGCGACTGGCCACCACAAGCCAGCTGGGCTTTCCTGCCCTGTGTTCTGGAATGGCTGACCTTGGTGGCAGGGAGATTAAATTTGACTGCCCTGGGCTGGCTGGAGGGTTGGCGAGCATCAGAGGGGTTTGAGACCTTAACTTGGTGGCATCATCCAGACCCTTTTGCTCCGCCCCAGGAGTCACGTTTGCTGCACGCTGGCACCAGCAACCCCAGCCCCCTCTCCAGCAGGGATGCGTCTGTTGAAAGAGCATCTTTCCCCAGAGCCCCCCAGTCTCCATGTCTTCTATTGAGTCAGTGACTGGGACCAGGGTCCTGCTGACCTGGCTCCCCCACCTCAGAAAGCCAGTGGGGATCAGATTTTCCCCTGACCCAAAACCCTGAAGGGAGAGAGGGCTCTTGATAAAGATCACATCGCTGCCTGGGGAGGAAGCTGTGGAGCGGGAGCTGTGTACACCCAAGCACAGTTTACACTGCAGAAAATGGGCTTTTTTGAAATATCACCGCTTTCTGCACGTTGTGACCTGAGTCTCCCGATGCCCCAATTTTCCCTTCTCTTCTTTCCCCTGGTCCTTCCTTTCCCGCTTCCTTCTGCTCCACACCTCCTCCCTCTTCTCTTTTCTTCTGCTCCCCCCTTTTCTTTCTGTCACTTCCCTTTCCTTCTCCTTCCTCCCCTTCCTACTAGGTGCCCCCTCCCCCGTAGCCCCTGATGCATTGGTGGCCTAGTCATTTATTTAACTCAACTAAACGGTTCAGTGCAGACAGTTTCTCACTAAATAGATGCCTTCACCTTCGTCCCCCAGGAAGAAGAAATGCCAGATGTAGAAATTGACATTGATGATCTTCTTGATGCAGACAGTGAAGAAGAAAGAGCTTTAAAATTACGGGTAAGCAACTTTCAAAATCTAGAACCCTGGGTCCCGGTTGCTTGAATCCTTGGGTCTCCAGAGCTTGGCATGCTCTGATTCTGCCCCAGGCCAGTGTTGGCACCAGTACTTGGGTAGTTTTCAGAGAGGAAAGCAATGGCTTGCTAAGTATTCACCTTCAAACTACATCTTTGATGATGAGGAAGTACTTGGCGCACATTATGAGTGTGAGTTTCTCCAGCATGACCTTGGGAGAGAGCTGGTTCTGTGTCCAAAGATCCAGTTGCCTGAGAAGGAACTGAGACCCCACAGCTGTATGAGAGGCAGACAGGCCAAGAGAGAACTGGCATATCCAAACCCCGGACTCTCGAAACTGTGGATTATATTATTCATTAAATTAATTTCTAGAGATGATTATTTATACCATAATTTTATTTAATAAAACTTTGTTCCACAGAGTATGCTTACCACTAGTACAACAGTGAGTACTGAGATGTCTCATGTTTTCTTAGTCCAGAGCAATAAAATATTTATTTCTGTTCCCACAGGAGGTCATAGCCATCATTTTAAAATCTGCTTGTGGGAGTTTCTAAAACCAATTAACCTTTGACTTGCCATTGTTTTTAAAGTTCTCTGATAATTACTGTTTATGGCTGTTGGTTATCACCAATGGCAAATGATCTCGTAAAGGCAATTAAAGAGCACATTTTAATGTATTAATGTGCTTAATGTGTTAATAATAACTAGAGTCTCTTGAGTGCTGAACAGTCTCAATGTAATGATTATTGTTGGTTAATTTTGTTGGGAGATGCTGGTATCCTAATTAAGAAATAAAATATAATGCAGGTACTAGCTCCATGGAAAATATAATGACAGATTTTTTTCCTTAAAATGCAGAGCTTGAAAGGGGCCTTTGCTACCCTTTGGCTCCCAGGTGAGGGAACTGCCACCTGCAGAGTTGTGACAGCCTGGTCTGTGGTTGAGTCACTGCCAAGTCCCCCGGGCTCCCCATGTCCAAAGTGATTGTCCCTCCTCACATCCTCACGCCTCTGGCTCTGGCTGTCTCAACTTAATGTAGCCAGTTTATTATTAACCAGGTTGGCAGCCCAGGGGGAAGAGGGGTGTGTGTGTGTGTGTGTGTGTGTGTGTGTGTGTGTGTGTGTGTGTGTGTGTGTGTGTTCATTCTGAAGAGTGAAAGGCATTCCTGCATATGAAAGGTACAGCTTTTGGTATCTTCAGAGGGTCGAACAAATGCTGAATGTGTGATTCTGTATTGTTAATGTGAAATTTTGAGTTACCATGTTTAGCATAAAACTTTATAAAGCTGAAATTATTTTTAATTTCACTTTTAAAATTATATCAACTTTTAAAATAATAAAACTTACCTTCTGTGTATTTCATTCTAGGAAGCTCTTGTAGACTGCTACAAACCAACAGAGGTAAACAAATCACTTTTCCTAAATGCTATGTTTGAATTAAGTCAGTTGACTGCTTTTAAAGTTTAACATCAATAAATGGGTTGCTTGTGTATATACTAAGTAGCACGTGTTATCCTTAAATGACGTGTGTGTCTGAGTAGTACTAATGTCCTAGTTTGTACACCTAGACTTGTCTGGTTTGGGAAGACTTCAAGCCAATGGAATTGATTGTGTTTCTTATTTTTATATACAAAAATCCATTTAAAGGTAATTGTGAGAGGATTTAGAGTCATTTTAGTAAGTTTTAAATGTATAATTAAAGAATATGATCTTTTAGTGCTGACATATGTAGTTGTAAGGAATTAAAGCCACCCCTGTCATTTAAAAGGATTAACTTCATGGGAAGACACCTTTCCTTGCATGGGAATTTCTCTGGTGTGTCAGGGTGAATAACAATGGACACCATGTGATTAGACCAAAGCATTTAATACGTACCATAAAAACCAAAGCACGAACAATATAGAAATTAAGGATTTGGTAAATGAAGTCCTTTCGGTGTGTTCCTGTGATAAATCAGAGAAATTAGAAGGTCCATCAGATGTTTTCTGTGACATCAAGCAATGATGGTAACAGTTGACTTTGAAGGGGCATAATTACAAGGTGGGAGGAAGCTTGCCTCACAGGAGTGTGTAAGATTTAAATGATGAGGATAATTGATAAGCCTTTGTTTTTAGGCCAGTTACTTATTTGAACTTTATTATTAATATTTTTCTTATTTTCCTTTATGTTGATTACTTCTTACACAGAAATTTAGTAGTCACAGAGATTTAAAATTTTAGTCTTAGTTAATTAAAAATAGTTTAATTAATGCAACACACATTTGCGGTTTTGAAAACCAAAAATACTATTAGGTTTGTAAAGAAAAAGTAGCACCACCTTTCCCATCACTCAGTTTCTCCTCCTAAAGGTATATATTTTACATTATATATTATATTTGATGAGTTTTATACAACCAACTCTTTGGTTATTTCCTTACTATATTATCTTGCTTTCCTAAATATGCCTTTATTATATTTTTTCATTTGTTGACCTAAAGGAAAATATGATAGCTCCCTCTCTTCACACATTTCATTTCTCTTCATCCCCTCAATAAAGTTATATAGCAGTATTTTGTTAAATCAGTAGTCAAGGTTTATAATATTACAATTTAAACAAATATTTTTTCAGTACTAAGCCAAACAGTGAAATAAGGCAGTGACTCCTTTCTGTTATAGATCTTTGTTTTTCCTGGAATTCATAACTACTGTCTTTTATTCATAAAAGACATAGAATTCATAACTGTCTTTTATTTTCTCTAATACCTATTGCTACTTTTTTGTGGAACTCTCCAATGGCTTTGTCAAACCCGTAATATATTTTCTGTATGCTCAAGTACATCATTCCTTTACCCTGCCCCAGCCTTCCTTCTTAAATCCTACTCTTCATCATTTTTGTTAGAGTGCCTCCTCTAGTAGCTTGTTGGGGAAGGATGCATAAAAGGTCAATTTCTTGGATCTTTACATGAAAATATCTTGATTGATGGCTTGGATAGTAGAGAGTTCTAAATTAAAATTATTAAAACTCAATTTTAAAGTCAATGCTGTATTGTTTTATCACTCTGGTATTAACAAGTCTGATTCCATTTCCATTCTTAGGCCTTAATATGTAATATGTGACCTGTTATTTTTCTTCATTAATTTTTGGGGTATCTTAGTATTTTGAAATTTCATTTGTGCTAGTGTGGGTCCTGTTCTATTCAGGTGCTGGATAATCTTTTGTCTGAAGATTTATGTCTTTTGGTTCTTCAATATTTGTCTTTTATTATTTATTATTTTTATTATTTCCCAATATTATATGTTTCTGGTTCTCCTGTTATTTAAATGCGATAGCTTCTCTATGGAAGCTCCAGTCCTTATCTTTTTCTTTTGTTGTCCACCTCCTTGATCATTTCTTCTACTTTCTCAAGGATTTCCCTGACTTGATCTAGCCCATTTACTGACATTTTGAAATTGCAATTGTCTTAATTTTAATATCTAATACAAATTTCAACTGTCTTTATTTTAGCAAATTTCAACTGTCTTCCTTTAATATCAAGATCAGAAATCTTTTTTTTTTTAAACTTCTTTTTGTTTTTAAAAAAGATTTATTTATTTATACAAGAGCTGGGGTATAGGTCAGAGGTGTGGGAGGGTGAGAGAATTCACCAGAGACATAGCAGGGAGCAAAACAGGCAGATAGACCAAAAACACTGCTGAGGGAAGCAGCGGGCGAAACAGGAGAGGTCTGCTGTGCTATGTGGGAATCTCCCTGGCCGGCCGGGATCGAAACGGTGCTGCAGAGGCTGTGGACAGCTTCACAGCATGGCACTCAACCCACTGCGCCACTGGGGAGGCCCAAGGTCAGAAATCTTAAGATTAGAAATCTTAATTTAAAAATTAAGTACTTTTAAATATTTCTTCTTTATTCTGGAATGCATTTCATCCTTTTTTTTCTCTTTGAAGATATTAATAAATGTTTTGTCTTCATTGCTTTTGTTATAATCATGATTCTGCTTACTGCATTGCCTCTGTTTTCTCTCATTCCCATCTCTTCCTGTCTATTTTCATGTGTCTTCACTGATTTTTGACAATACAGTCATGTTTAAGTGTTAGGAGTCAGTAAGTGAATTGCAATCTGTGCATGTGAACACAGCTTGCCTACTGGTGGGTCTCCCTATGGAGTGACCAGGCTGCAAACTAGATTTTTGTGGGGAGGGGTATGTGTGTCTAGAGCAAGAGGACTATTTAAAATGTAGATATTTGGACCTGAGGGTTGCTAGTCTGATTTTAGGCTCTCTGGAAGCAAGGATGGGAAAGAGGCAGGAGACCTAGCCATTTAACTCTTTTGGGAATATTCACACCTTTATACTTAGTTGGGGAACTAATTAGGTTTAAACAATTGACTGTTTGGAGATGAATATTAAATTGTTGTGAAGAGTTAGAATAGTAGGTTGTATTCCAGAAAGGCTATGGCTTGTGCTGATGAATTAACATGTGATGTCAGAGCGGGAGGTTTTCTCTGAGTTAACCTGAATTGGCAGGTGTGTCCACGCCACTTACCTGCTTCATCGTTCCCTTCTCTTCATTTCTCCTCCTGGGAGAAGTTTGTTTTGTATGTAGGTGAAAAAGGTTGGGCTTTGAGTCCCACTCTCCCCCAGTTTTTGCAGTATCTCAGCAGCAAAATATTTACACTTATTAACAGCCATGCAATTAAATAAAAATGGGGAGTCTCACCCCTGGAATGTAAGTATCTCTCATCTCTCAGGAGGCCTGTAAGATGAGTGGGTGCATAACTGAGTGATCTTCAGAGTCCAGAGGAAGAAAGAAGGAAAAGACACTGGGCTTTATGAGTGAGTGTCACTGTGTTCTTTGTTTAGCTTTTGGTTTCTAGGAATGAAAATTGTATAAAGTGCTACAGAATTTTAGTCAAGTTCATTCTTCTATTAAATAGCCGATTCAGAAAATGTTGACTTGTTTTTTCTTTGGTTTATGATGTTCATAAAAATAGATTTTATTGGCAATAGGGTTATGATGATAAAAATAGTATCTTATATTTCCCCAAAGCTCTATGGTTCACATCACAGTAACAAACGCTATTTTAATTAATCCTCAAAATCATGACGTGGAGTAGAGGGTTGTAGCACTTGTCTAAAACCTCACAGCAGTGAACAAAGGGGCCAGGACTGAGCCCCGAGTTTCTGACACCCAGTCTTGTGCTTGTTTCCACCCTACCAGTCTCCCTAAGCTACTTGAGTCAGCAAGACATTTAGGACATTAAAGGACGGCGATTTATCTCAACTAAATGCCTAACAATGATGTTCTTTTTAAAGCAGCCGTCTGTGGAGGTGCTATTTTTTGATCAAAGGATTTTACATGCAATTATTATGCCCCTTTGAAGTTAGAAATGTAGGGAAGATGTCTTTGCTGACTCATATACATTGATTTATAGTCTTATTGCAAAGGCAGGGTGTGTGGGGGTGGGAGGTAGAAGGAAGACTGAGTTTGAGTCAAGAGTCTTTGCTGGCACCAGTGCTATGGGCGTGTGACTGAGCTGAGCCCTCCATTTCCTTCTCTATTAAAAGGAGATAGTGATAAACACCTCCCTGAGTTTAGTAAGGATTATTTGATAGTAACAGTAATAATACCGAAACAATCACTAAGCACACATTAGGCCCCACTCAAATCACATGACTTGCACTCATTCATTTAATCTTCACAGCAAAGCTTTGAGGTTGACACTGCTGTTATCAGCAAAGGCATTTGGGATAGAGGAAAGCTGTGTCATTTGCTCAAGCTTCCGTCACTATTAAGTGGAGAAGTCAGGAAATGTTTGAAAGCACATAGCATCAAGCACATGCTAATTGAGTCTGATTCTACAACAGATAATGTTTTCCATAACATTATATATGCCCAGTGTCCACATTCATCAATAATAATATTTTGAGTCATTCAGTGTGAAGAATAGTCTTTTAAAAATCTGCTAATTTCACAGAATGAGATGATGTTTGGCGTGTCACTTTCTGCCATAGCTTTTGGCCCCATGGTGTCTTCCTTTCTGGGCCGCTGGCTAATATGCAAAGGAGTTGTATTTACCTATTTTGATTCTAAATCCCGAATATGGGGTCTTGGCATGCACATCTTTCCTGATTTGGACCCTTGAAAACACAGCAGTAGAGTCGCCATTGCCATACTAATGTCATAGTGATTGACTAGTAAGAACGGTGTTTTTTTCCCTTGAGTAAATGCCATTTTATTTGAGTAAGTGCCAGTGAAATACTTGATGTTAAAATAGAGCTGATTTAATGGCAGAAAAAGGATGTTTCTATATAAAGAAGAAAAGGAGGGACTTAACTGTAGTTAGGACTTGGATTTTGGTGAAAGCCTAGGCACATTGTGGGAGTGGGGGGGTGCTGGGGTGCTGTGCCAGCTGACCAGGGCAGGGAG